TTCATATGCTACCTCTCTATAAACGCAGACAAATAGCTGATATTTTGTACCTTTCCAAGATAGCCAACAATATGGTTGACTGCCCCGATTTGTTGGGTAAAGTGGGTTTGGTAACGCACTGTAAGACTTTGCGTAAGCCTAGTCTGCTTTATGTCCCTTGTGTTAGGACAACCTACAGGCAAAATTCTTTTCTTATAAGAGCGAGTAGATCCTATAACAATCTGTCTGAGCAACATGATTTCGATCTATTTCATACCAGTGTTTCTCGTTTAAAATCTATATTGTCTAAAAGCTTCTTTGCTTAACATTTATCATTTAATATTGTTATTACTTTGTTTCTTTCCTTAAGATTTATCATTTATTATTATTTTAAGTACTTTTGTTTCGATCGTCTGCTGACTGCTGCTGTTTTTGAATATTAGTATTTAGTTATTAGTGGAAACTTTTAATTGGCCTTAAAAATTTTCATTGTTTTAAATTTATTCATTTGTTTAGCTGTAAGTTTTCCGAATATCTTAAAATAAAATAAAATAAAATAAAATAAGCATGTCTCAGATGTTCAACACTGAGGCCGTCATGCCCGGGAGATTTACCTCCTGTCATCTTTTTGATAGCAAATTTGACATCTTTTGCAAGAATTACCGTTGAAATGTCAGTATGACAGGCATCAAACTCCCGACATGGCGAACCCAGCGGAGACTTAATTGAGTAATAGTCTTTAAACATATTGGCTATATCTTTCGGACTCGAGATACCGTCGACACTTACAGGAATACTAGGTTTAGTGTTGGCATTATTGGTACACTTCCAGAAATTTTTAAAGTCAGACTTAGCATGGTGCTTGGCCATTATATCCATTTTAATTTGATCCTGGTTGTTTTGACACCACTTAAGTTTACTCTTAAACTCTTTACGAGCTTGTGTCATTTCATTAAATATTTCGGCATGAGTTGGTTTACTACTGGATACCCATAATCTGAACTTTAACTTAGCATTCTACTAATGTGTGATGTATACTTGTTGGATAGATATTTATAAATGTTTTTCAAGAACAATAATACTTAAATTTTAATATTTTCGGCAATAATCGGTCCAAAAGTTTTGTTTTTATTTTGTGACTAGCGGCCCGCCCCCGCTTCGCACGGGACCATCTATCGCGCTAGCAAAATGTCACTTTTTCCTAATCTCCCCCTCTACTTTTCTAATATTTTCTTTCATAAGAACCATCTCCTGCCAATAACAAACGTAACAAAAAAAGAATTAGCAAAATCGGTCCAGGCGTTGTTGAGTTATGCGCTTACCAACACATTTTGCGATCCATTTTTATATACATTCAGTCAACAAAGTATCGGGAATATGAATGTTTTTTTTATGGTTCCAAATTCGATTTTTTTTTTTTTTTTTTTTTTTTGTTGTTAGATTGGCATAACTGTTTTCCATTTTGGCGCGGAATTTGAGTTGCATCTGTTATTTATATTAAAAACAATGCTGTTTTTAATTTTATAATATCTAGTGTGTATTGCGAATTTCATAATGGACAAAAACATCGAACAAAGAGTTTGTCTTAAATTTTGCATCGCCAATGAAATTTCGTGTTCGGAGGCACTCAAAATGTTACAGAAGGCTAACGGTGAATCGACTTTATCAAAAACACGTGCTTATGAGTGGTACCTACAAAGCGTTCAAAAGCGGTCGAGATGTGATGGAAGATTTTTCTCGTTCTGGTAGGCCATCAACGTCTGCAATTGAAGTTAACATCGCAAAAGTGAAGGAAATAGTGACTGAAAATCCTCATTCAAGTTTGAGAGAGATGGCCGCCGAACTTTCTGTATCTCACGAGTCGATCCGTACCATTTTAACAAATAATTTGGGTATGAAACGTGTTGCCGCTCGGCTAGTCCCAAAAGACCTGAATTTTCTTCAAAAACTAAATCGCATGAAAGTCGCTGAGGACATGCTAGAACGAGTCAATACCGACCCAACATTCATGAAACGCATTGTTACTGGTGACGAGACGTGGGTTTACGAGTTTGACATGCAAACTAGTCAACAAGCTTCGGAATGGCGCCTTCCAACTGAACCAAAACCGAAAAAACCACGTCAAAGTCGATCAAAAGTCAAAGTCATGTTGACTGTTTTCGCGATTGGATTATTCGTTGGCGTAAGTGTATCGTTTCTGAAGGAGCATACTTTGAAGGTGATAAAATAAATTTAGATGAATAACAAACATTTTGTGTATTATTGGCTTTTTCCCGGTACTTTCTTGACAGAGTAGTATAAGATAGGACGGCAATCTAACAGACGGATTACCTGATGGTAAGCAATCAGCGCCGCCCATGGACATTCGCAAAAACAATAGAGTTAGAAGTTCGTTGCCGACCTTTTAGCTTTTAGGGATTAGGGATTTTGAGATTTAGGGATTCGGGGAGGGGAAGGACCGGACCTCCGGTAACCACACTCACACAGCTAAACACAACGCTGTGGTTGTTGCACGCCGCTTTTCTGTAAGGCCATGGTGTCACTCTGGTCGAGCCGACCCATTCCTGTCGAAGCATGGCTCTCCCACACTTAATTACCACCAAAAACTTAACATAAATAACCCGTCTAGTTGGTATAAATTAGTAACCCAATTCCCTAAGAGACGGCGCTGTACTTCTGCTACTTCTCGTCGAATTGCGGTGTTAAGATTTACAATAAGTCAAGTGGGGTACCCACACTTATTGTAACAGAAAAACGGAACCCTACACTGAGCTGGACCCGATACGCTCTTGTTTGGTATTTGTTATATTTATTTATTGTCAGAGGTGCTTGTGAAAATAAATAAATTTAGTAAGTAAAGATAAAATACTAAACGTCGACTATTACCTACAATACTATTGGTACATAGGTACGTACTAAAAGTATTGTGAACGCCGGTACTGAGAGTCCTTCAGAAGCTCTTCAACTCCGTCATATTCGAAGGAGCAACGCCGGCGGCATGGAGCAGAAGTGTGGTGGTACTATTCTTCAAGAAGGGAGATAACACTCTACTGAAAAATTATAGACCCATCTCACTTCTGAGCCATGTCTACAAGTTATTCTCGAGGGTCATCACAAATCGTCTCACACGTAGGTTCGATGACTTCCAGCCTCCCGAACAAGCCGGTTTCCGGAAAGGCTATAGTACCATAGACCACATCCATACGCTGCGGCAAGTTATACAGAAGACCGAGGAGTATAACTTGCCACTATGCTTGGCGTTTGTGGACTATGAGAAGGCTTTTGATTCGATCGAGACTTGGGCTGTGTTAAGATCTCTCCAGCGGTGCCATATTGACTTTCGGTACATCGAGGTTTTGAAGTGCTTATACACAAACGCCACTATGTCGGTCCAAGTACAAAACCAGAGCACTAAGAATATTCCTCTGCAGCGAGGTGTAAGGCAAGGAGACGTCATATCTCCGAAACTGTTTACCGCTGCATTGGAAGACGCTTTCAAGCTCTTGGAATGGAAAGGATCTGGCATCAACATCAACGGCGAGTACATCACTCACCTCCGGTTTGCCGACGACATTGTAGTCATGGCAGAATCGCTGGAGGATCTGAGCACAATGCTCGATGACCTCTGTAGAGTTTCTCAACAGGTAGGGCTCCGAATGAACATGGACAAGACGAAAGTCATGGCAAACGCCCATGTCACGCCCTATCCGATATCAGTTGGGAGTTCTAACCTCGAAATTGTTGACGAATATGTATACCTGGGACAAGTGATCCAGCTAGGTAGGTCCAATTTCGAGAAGGAGGTCAATCGTCGAATCCAACTTGGATGGGCAGCGTTCGGGAAACTACGCAACATCTTCTCGTCCAACTTACCTCAGTGCCTTAAGACGAAAGTCTATAATCAATGTGTGTTACCAGCGATGACCTATGGAACTGAAACGTGGTCTCTTACTGTGGGCCTTATAAAGAAGCTCAAGGTCGCTCAGCGCGCTATGGAGAGGGCTATGCTCGGAGTTTCTTTGCGAGACCGTATAAAAAACGAGGATGTCCGCAAACGAACAAAAGTTTCCGACATAGCCCAGCGGATTAGTAAGTTGAAGTGGCAATGGGCAGGGCACATAGCGCGTAGAACCGACGGCCGCTGGGGCAGAAAGGTTCTCGAGTGGAGGCCACGTACCGGCAAGCGCAGCGTGGGACGTCCACCCGCAAGGTGGACAGACGACCTGATTAAGGTCGCAGGAAGCCGCTGGATGCAGGTCGCTTCCAACCGGCCTATCTGGAAGTCAATGGGGGAGGCCTATGTTCAGCAGTGGACGTCCTGTGGCTGATATGATATGATGATGATGATGAAAAGTATTGTTAGCAAAGCCAAATAAAGAACTAGTTCAAACTTGTAATAGTTTTCCTTCGCTACCACATCCCATGGCGGTGATCCGGTAAGGTTTACGGTCTCGGAGATCGTGCGATAGCCATGGATGACGCGTAGATATGGCTATAACTCTCTGGACGCGACCATCTCACGACCAGCGCGACGTTACTCAGCCCAAACAGGGAATATCGCCATCTTCTGCTGCGAGTAGTGCTCGAAATGACGACACAAAGGTGTATCCAGAAAACTTTCGTGTTCTGCTGTACCTGCACATCAGGCAATAGTGTCACTGTTGGGAAATTAAGTTTTTTGTCAGGCGGATGCTAAGGATGGTGTGGCGCCTCTCCCGCCACTTCCTCGGTTGAGATAGAGCTCATTCCGCCACGTAGTGACGACAGTAACGCAGTGGCAGTATGCTCCCCAACCCGGTATTTGGCACACACGGACATGCCTTGCGCGGCATTTAACACAACCTTACCTAAAAGTTTAATAATCCTATTCGAAAATTTGTACAGATCAACATATTTTCAAAATACCTATAATCATCAACGCATACTCACTGTAGAGGAATACGTATTTCTGTGTGGCCTTGGTATGGCCCCGGGCGAAGAGGCCATTTGACCAGAAGCAAGGTTTAATTATTAAAAACAACTTTTAACGAGAGTATTTATGTATATTTTCGTTAAAACTATAATTTAGTCTTCTAGAACAAACACATTCACACCTACCTACTTAAAACTATTTATTACTAAATTATTTGCGATGACGAAATACAAAAATAATATTATCGTAAACGATAATCCGCTACACACACAAAATATTGCACTTTTTTTTATTAAAGGCAGAAGTTAAAAGTGGCCTAGTGAGTTTTTTTTTTTTTTTTTGTTTTAGTGTACAACATTTTGTGCAGTGACCCTTATTCGATTTTATTGTTCAAGAAGACTAAAACTTAAAATTATTATTACTTCAAATTGAATTATCTTACAATCATTTAAGATAAAGATACAAATGTACTTATAATCATTCCTTTTAATCAATTGAACATTTTCGAATTACAAATTTGGTAAAACAGAACATAATTAATTACTTAGGTACTAGTGTCAAATCATCTATTGTCATTTATTTCATTTCAAATTGAGGGTCTATTTAATTCACTTATCTATAATTATAATAATACATAGGCAAAACATTATACTTGCTTGAGGAACTAGCGCATTCGATATTACAAAAAAAAAACATTAAATTGGGATATATCAAACTTCCTCAAATCTACCAGGTTTATAAATCCAATTATCATTTTTAAATTCAAGAGTAAGGATGCCTGCATTTCACTCAATAAAAAGATACATGTAGCTCAACTCCTAGACAAACATAGACAAAAATACAACAAAAATATACGTACTTTATCATTAAAATTGCATCCAGCAATATTACCATTTAAAAAATCAATTACTTGCCATATTAAAAAACAATTTTATTAAGGCGCTCAATTATTAAATTAACCTATCATATCAGGATTGAAACATTTCAACACAAATTAACAACGCAATTATTAAAAATGTTTAGCATCATGCTTAAAATTAAATCTTTCATTAAAATTAATTAATAAACAGATCAATAAGAAAATTCAATGTAAAGTTAAATTACAGCTTATTGTTACCAAGTACTTATAATAAGGGTGGAAGATGAATCATTCTCAGCAATAATCGTTATTAACAGATAGATATAAACAACACGTAAACATCAAAATGATTTTTAAATAAAAATCTTAAAGTGCATGTAACCATAAAAGTAGAAATTCTTGTCCTCAATACGGGATTCATAAGAACCATTATTTTATCTCAAAAAAAAAACTGTCAAATACACATAATTATGTGTTGCTATTCAAAATGATATTTAATCCAAAATATTACTCCCTAGTATTTACAGTGACAATATTTATATACAATACAAAAAGTTTCAAACATCTCAGTTTAGTACTAGGCTGTATACATTAAACTACTGTTATTTTAACGACAAAACACATAGTCAGAGACGAATAAAAATTGCTTAGCACACACTATGGTTATGTTGGTATAATTGTCAGAGAGAACTGCCAAAATGCATGCTAAACTATGTCCACGAATCTCGACTTTTACGCTAAACATTAAATTTACTTAACTTCATTTTATCTGTATCAAAAATATATGTATTATTATCATATCGGAAAAGTAATTTTATTTTGGTTTACATTTATTTATTTAATTTGTGGAAACTGTCATCATTGGCTAAGAGGAATTCATCTCACAACCTTCTTAGTTACTAGACATGACTCCGTTAATTTTAAGCTTTTTGACACGTCTCGTTGTTGCCTCCCCATCAGAACTGTCCGTGTCGTGTGAATCCCCTTCTGATTTTACACCTAGACCTAATTCGTGTGCATCGGAATAGTTGCCAGACTGCCGAACCTTTTCTAATGCTCGTACTGAAAAAAAGTAGATTTTTCGGGTCATTTGACTTTCTTGATTCCTACTAACATTATAAATGCGAAATTTTGTGAGAATGTATTGATGTGTTTATTATTGATTTAGTTGGAATTTAGAAGTTAAATAGGTAATACCCTGTCTTCGCATTGGATGCTTTTCATCAACATAACACACGAGTGAAGCCGCGATCGGAAGGTAGTATAGAATATAGTAATCTGCATAAATAATTTACAATTACATAGTGAATATCTTGTTGCAGCAAAAATCAAATGTCAAAGCTTATTCAGAGAGTATTTTGATGAGAGAAGCAAAGAGAAAGGCATCTGGTATAAAACTATACAAAGTCAGCCTCCTCAGAAACCATGGTTTATAGACTATAAAGTATGTAGAAATATCATAGTTATAGCTAATAGATTACGTGCAGGACACTTTCCTTGTAATAAATTTATTTTTCTAATGAAAAAAATGAATCTCCAGATTGTGAAGTATGTGGTGTCCTTGATGATGTTCAACATTTGTTAGTTGATTGTATAAAATATGCGAGAGACAGGGAATCACTGGTGCGTGAATTTAAGTTAAATATGTTAGATGTGGGTAGTTTTACAACTGTTCTCTCAAATACAACTTCTTCTGCAGCTATTGCCTTGTTTAGGATATTCACGCATCAGTGAGACTATGAGTCTTTAATATGATAGATGTAAGTTAAAATGTCCTAACGGGGTTGACATGTGTTAGAACAAAAGCCCCTAAAACTATTGATAAAAAAAAAATAATAATAATTTACAAACAAAATAAGCAACAAACTTTAAGAAATAAGTATCACACAGGCACTAAGGAAAATGTTTTGTCCTTGAAATTTGGCCTTACATTTAAAACAAGGACATTAAAGAAATAAATAGATTATGGATCAGAGGCATTCAAATTGTTTAATAATAGCTAGTGCTATGGTATCTCTGGTTCTTATTATTTATCAAAATTTTGGTTTAATCATGACTTCAGACAAGCTGTTTGAAATGGGAAGGTCAGATTGTTTTATTTGTGATGATTTACTTATACTATGATATTTTACATTCAACATAACAAAAAAGGTGAGTTTTTCATAGTTTCAGAGTTCAGTATTGAAGATAATTTAAAAATGGAAGAAGCACTCTGTCCTTTTGAATGAAGAAAGATCATTACCTAAATTAAAAAAATAACTATGCTCTTAAACTTTTTTTTTGGTAGTGTCTATGTGGCAACATAATCATAATAACTTACTTTGTGTTTCCAGAATGTTGTTCTGTCTTTTTAAGTCCTCTATATCTTGTTGGTGTGAATTGTTTTTTCTTCTCATAAATTGTATGTACTCTGCTGCTTTTTTTAATATCTGAGCTCGACTGGCCTTAAACAATATCAACAATGCATTAATGAATTACAACAAAATGTAATATTTTTAATATTAATTCAAATGCTGACATGAATTTTGTTATCCAGCTATTGCTTTTATTATTTTAAAGAATAGCAGAATGAACCAAATAAAATAAAAAAGTACTAAAAATATTTTGATATCAGTATGTTATCAATTCTATGATGTATGTTCTGTGTTTGTTAGTGAGCAATGGACAGCACAAAATACAATCTAGTCTGAATCTGATTAATATCTTAAGATCCTAAGGTTTCCTCTGCCAAAAGTGAATTTATTTGTCTAGCTAGACTGTAGTCTTCATTTGGAAAAAAAGTCTTAGATGTACTGAGTTTTATTAATGTTTTGGTTAGACCTGATTGGATTGTCTATCCTAAATACTTAAGATAATTACACCTCTCTCATTCATAGTTGGTTATCCTTTGATAGCTGTTATATAGGTCTTAGACTGCCAGGTGCATTCATAAAATCATCAAACACGTTTGCCATGGATACTTGGGTCAACAATACATGTTGTTATGATAAAACCATCTCTGCAGCTAGAGGATAAGCTATAATATAGTTTTTTAATATTTTTCGGCTTATCTACTGGCTGCTGAGCTCATAAAATTAATCAATTCATTGTATTAGTTTTCACTCCTTATTATATACATTGATAGTTGAATATAAGAAAGTAATTATGGTTCCTCTTGATGACTACCTATATTATTATAATAATATAATTAATTGCTATAGCCAGCCATTTTTAAATAGAATATTCGATATTTGAATGGCAATTATTTTGTTATATTTACTGATTTCAAAAGCAACCTCAGGCATCTCATTTGACTTACAAAATATTGAAATGTTTTTTTGAATAGTAGCCCTAGATAATAACAAAGTTACTGCTATGGCCCTTATAACATAGGACTAAAGGATAATAAGATTGTTAATCATGGAGAGCATTTTACTTGTTTACCATAGTTTGGTGTCCCACTTGCGATTGCACTTTTACCATTGGTTAGAGAAAGATGAATAACTAGGGAATTTGGTACATAACCATACAATTCTCACTTCCATACATGCTTTGACCCTGCCATATCCTGCTAATTGCGGAGAAGTCGAATATACAGAAATGGCAGGGAAGCATTTAATGAGTCAAAATTATGATAGTTTCTAGATTCACCATTTTTAGATGAAGGTAGAAATGTTTAATATAATTATTTTAGGTAAAGGTGGGTAAGTTATATTTTGGTATTCCTGTTTCTTTTGTTTAATTATTATTACTTAAGTCAATTTTATTACTTAGATAAAATAATTGGAGTGCCATTTTATAAATATGTTAAAGCAAAAACACCAAACTAATTTAGGACATTTTACATAAGAAAAAAAAGTAGCCCTTGATCTGTTTCTTGAGGATTCAGAGGCTTTTAACAGAACATAAGCAATGATCAAGGTCATAAAATTTTTTACATGAAAAATGCCCAACACTATTTTAGAATGCTTTAAAGACATATGCAGCCAGTACCATTTAAAGCGACAACAAAAGTTTGTGCACTACTTTTGATGCAAAATAAAACTTAAAACTAATAAAAAAAAATATTAATACCACATGTAAAATGTGAATGCTTACAATTTTTGAACATACCACTTTCTCATTCTGGAGAGCTGGTACGGCTTCTCTCAGAGATGTGAAACTATCCTTTATGTGGTCTCTTCTTCTCCTTTCCAGTGCATTGTGGTGTGCTCTTTTTTCTGCCTGTAAATTGAAGGTAGAAGAATATAATACCATGCATCAGTGATCATACAATAACTTGTATCACTGATCAAATAATACTTGTGCTGAATAAGAAGAATTACCATTATTATTGCTTTGTAGTAAAATACCATGCCTACATGATGTTTGGGTGTATGTTATTATCAAGAAGAAACAAAAAAAAATATTGTACTTTACCTGCGAGTAGTAACCGCTGCCGCCAGCGCTATTCCTAGCGTGTGTTCGCGAATCCGAATCATTCTCAGCCTGAAATTTCGTAAAAATATTATCATTGGCAAAATAAACACACAGCACAAACTAAATGAACTGTCAATTCTAGAAAACACCTACATCACTTTCGATATCAATATCACGATCGTCGTCACTCATCATTTTTAAAGAGTTCTTTGTAACTGTACTACTTATTACTATTATTTAGTAAACAACCATGAAATAAATGCACGTGAGCAAACTATTTCGATACACACAAAACGACCTGTATCAATGGTCACTAAATAGAAAAAGGAATTATAAAACGAAGGAATTGGACAGGTGTGACAATGACAGATAGGACGAAAATGTGACTAATGCTTAGTTCCATAACTTTTAACAACAATGCGACAGAATTATAGGTTATTCTGAAAGAAAGAAAGAAGAAGCGCTATTGTGCGTCAACAATATAAACTAGCTGTGTTGTATTGTTTAAGGTAAAAACTTTATTGCCAGAGAGAAAAATCATAATATCACGTTCAAGTTGCTCCAATTTTGTTACTGTAACGGTTTATTCTAAGTTTTAGATCATTCTCAATTTTGTTTTCTTTAAACATAATTAAATAATATAATATTTATTTGCAATCAATATGACGACATACCAAAATACGAGTCAAAAATACCATAGACCAGGACGTGATGTTGTCTATGGTAATTTTTGATATGCTTTTATCGTATCCTTTTCCTGTTCTATACAAATTAGCGCGAAAACTAAAATAAAAAAACGATTTACCTCATTTCATTTGTCAAAACAATTTTACAATATGGATGAACAATTGAATAACATCCAAGATATTGATATTAACAGCCCCGACTTTTATGAAAGAGTTCAAAGCGAAATAGAATTCGACACTGCTCGAATGAAGAAAAATGTTGAAATTATTATGAATTTACGCTGTAAGTTTTAAAAATCTTTATGCATAATACTTATAATAATATTTTTTTTTCTTTTTTGTTTTGAGTTTATAAAACCTGTAGCACCATTTTGCTAGCATAATTAGCAGAAAACGTTCTCTTTTTATAATCTATTGCCTACCCGATAGGCCAATATATCGATATAGCAAGCTACCAGATGGTAGCTACCTATTTCCGGCTGTAGTGTCTACTATGGTCGGGAGCGAGTCAGGGTGGAGTACCGTCGCTACCTTCTGCGAGGCCGTGATGCTCGCAAAGGAGGCGGCGGAAAGGGAGAGAAAGGCTGCCTCCTCTCTCCCCTCCCGCAGCAGACGCACTAGACGTCGTAGGGTGGCCGACCTGCGGCCACCGTAGGGCGCGGCCTGTGGACGACAGACTCGGGGCGTCTTGTCGTCTGACCAGCAGCAGGCCTCGAGGCGGCGGCGCTGTGTTCCGCGCGCGCCTCATAGTGGGGTCCTGCGGTCGGGGTGACGGCCGCAGTGGGTGACGGGGCCCGCCTTACCATCTGGCGGGCTAACACCCGTCGGGGTGTTGCGACGAATGCTTCGGCGATACCCGCCCCTCCGACACATGGATTATTGGAGGAACACCGGGTTGGTTTTTAGTCAGTAAGAGTCTGACAGTACCCTTCGCCCTTCCCCGAGGGCGATGGGTCTCCATGAGGATTTTCCAACCCGAAACCAAAAAAAAAAAACAAAAAAAAATGGTAGCTACCTATCCTAGACATTGTAAAGCCTTTAGAGCTTTTATCCTATCTAATATCAACATAGGTAAAAGGAAATAGATACCTACCTACCTCATTATAAATATAATCATTAGGTACGTCCAGTGTTAATAATATATTTTATGTATAGTTTTCATAGGCACAGATTTTTCTACACAAATTGATTTTAACTTTTATTGTATTTAATTAAACTGATAACATACACGGAATCTCTTAAGAAATGTGGGTGTTACATTATACTGGTGATAAGGTACTGCGGCCTCGGCCCAAAGTAGGAGCAGTCCCCATCCTGGGCGATAGTAGTTATTTGATTATTAATTTCCCCTCACAATTTGCACATTCAGTACATAATGGTTTGAATCCCGGAATTAAAAGACTTACGGAATGTTAGATATGTTATTTGACGATATATTATTTTTATTTTAGTGGAAGCTGCAGAAATAGAGGTGGAAACAGCAGCTTTATTCCACGCTGAGATTTGGTACGATATGCTAGACAAACCCGAGGATCCTGATCCCGATGACGATTTCTTGGAAAATGACAATGACGAAACTAGTGAAAATCAAAATATTGAAGATGATGCATCTGTCGCAACTTGATTAAAAACATGAAATAAAATAATACTTTTCAGTAAATTAATTAATTAATAAAATGTCTAGTTTCCTCTTGCATTTTATTTCTTATAACGATAGCATGTGTTACGTTAGGTACTCGTATCTACATCATAGCCTTGGCCTCGAAATTGAAATAATATTTATGTACCTAATAATGTATTTACAAGTACCTACCTTACCTTTAAATGGCACATACACACTTTGTCAAACGATTTTGTGGAACAACTTATTGGATTTCACACTAGCTTTATTGATCATATTTTTATGTAGGTAAGCATATATGTAGTTATGTGGTACCTACCTAAGTAAGAAATAAAAAAAGCGATTTAAATAAAAATTATGGTTCAATACCAACACAAGTGCAAAATAACTTACTGGGACTGTCTCCAGTGTTGTATAAAAACAATGTTTGAGATGAATAAAGAGATTAATTATCGTTGGTTGAACATTACGGTGGGTTACTACTTTACTTGCCTATTATTTTTGTACACAAAATCATATTAACTTATAGATTTTGTGTAGGCAATAATACCTATTATTTACTATCTTAAACTAATATAAAATCTACTTTTTTATCTATAAACGTAATATATGATGTAGGTCACTTAGATATACTGTAGGTTTTCTTTTGATATAGGTCAGCAAACGAGCAGACGGATTACCTGATGGTAAGCTGATTACCTGATGATCAGAACTGCCGATGGACACCCGCAACGCCCAAAGGAGTAACGAGTGCGTTATCGGCCTTTGAGGGATCTAGATTTCGGATATTTAAGGATTGGGAAGGGATGGTGGAGGGATTTGGTAACCTCAATCACATGGCGAAACAACGCTGTGGTTGTTTCACGCCGGTTTTCTGCGAGGCCGTGGTATCACTCCGGTCTAGTCGACCCATTTGTGCCGAAGCTTAGCTCTTCCACACTTATAAAACAAAACAAATCTTTACCCAAACAACTTATTTGTATTTATTTTAATCTTTTTTTTATGGAATATGGAATAGGAGGCAAACCAGCAGACGGATCACCTGATGGTTAGCGATTAGGTTACACCCGCAAAACCAGCGGAGTTACAGGTACGTTGCCGGCCTTTTAACAAAGATTACGCTCGTTTATTGAGGGTTTGAAGGTCGTATCGGTTCGGGAATACCACCGATTATAATACAATTATGTAATACATAAGTATTTTACTTATACGGCCTCGCGGTGCAGAGGGCCACGAGCCTCAAGAATTTTTAAGTTTCATCTTCAGGTCGCCACAGAAAAGGGCCTAGAAAATCTGTCTTGCCCACATTATAATGAGGTCTTTCCCCGCCACCGGCTACAATGTTCTTCAGTGCTCTAGTCTATATGTAGGTATATTATTCATGTCCGGCAAGTAGTTCCCATTTTTCTACATTGTAACAATTGCGAACAAGTATCTAAATAGGTACTTGCCTAGCTGGGCTGCAGGCAAGCTGCTGCTATCTTGCAGGAAACTGTGACATTAATACCTACAATATATTAATATGTAAATAGCTACCATAGGATATTTAATTAAAGTCCGTGGTTAGGTCCTATTAGGTATGTATAGAAACTGTTTATTTTAATTGCAAACATGCAGGACCGGAATACCTAACAAGGCAGAGTCAGTAACTGCCTAGGCCCTCTGGATTGCCAGGGACCCCAGGACACCGTTTGAAACTTTAAGTTTAATTATTAAATAATGTAAAAAAATAGTAATAACACTAGTATTCGATCAGGTAAAATCCTTCTTTCTTCTTTTCGACAATATCTCAAAATTGTCTAAATTCATTCGCAAAAAAATGGGCCCGTGAATTGCATTGACTTGGGACCCCTAACTGAATTACCTAATCTGGCCCTGTAGGTACAAACGGCAGCAAGCATACGAGTCCAGTGTAAACTGATCGTCGAATGTGCGGAAAGACCATATAAATGGAGACTATGGCAAACTAGTCATAAAGTTTAATGTAAATAAAATTAATTAATGTTGCTACTTGGTTTGTTTTGATAACATAACATTCATAATAATATAAGGCTTTGAATAACGAACCATTTAAACAGTATAGATAGTCCAGAATTAACAACAATTGGCATGGTTCCTTACACCACCGGGACCGTATTCTGGCAATTGACATGATATTTACACACTACGTAGGGAAATAAAAATATCTTAATAATCATCACTATCAACAGAGTACAAACCAAAGTCGCTTTCTCTGTCCCTATATCCCTAGTAACTACGCTCAAATCTTCAAAACCAAACAACAGATTGAGTATCATCATGGCACCCGAGCGGTGCAGGGGCGAAGCTTTTACCAAAGAGAATATAAGCACTACTTACGTTTATTATTACACGACTGCCCAAAAAAGGAGTCATATGTTTTTTCATTAATGCTAATACAACACACATCGTGTAATTCTTACCTACTTATTATACGTAATTATTACTAAATACTTCAAATAATTAAGTTACCCAAGTATGTTTGATTTAAGTACCTATCTGTCCTGTTTAAGTTAGTTTAATGTTTAATATCATAAAGAGCATCCAATATTTATTCCACGACGACCCCTAATTTTAACGGTCGTCGTGTTATTTTAATTAACAGACTGATAAGTGAACCCTATGAACCACGCAATGCCTATGATTACTCATCATCACAGAGCGTCCGCGTCGCGTCAGTCGCGCTGCGAATTTCGACAAGATGAAGTGCTCCGCGCTTGTTCTCGTGCTAATGTTATGCGTTATCGCCGATGCTTACAGAGAAAGGCGTCATTTTAAACATCTGAATTCAAGGAGAGCTAATTCTAAAAAACAGAATACACCCCCACATTGTACACAAGTTACGAAGGGTAAGTTGCACAATTTTATTTTTAGGGTAATTCGTTATTAATGTCTGTTTCGTTTTTGGTTGTGTTGGTCTTAGTAACGAATGAATAAGTAAGTAAATATTAACTTTCCATAAGACATGATTACTTAGTGTGTTACAACAAACATTGTGAAATAGTATAATTTTATTGTCATTTTGTCCCAAATTTATTTATTCGTATAGTTAGGTAAGTATGTTACTTTTGTACCCATATTTTTTTACTAATGGTCTATTCACAGTACCTACAATTAAATAAAAATACAACAAAAATATGCAACAATAATTAGGTTTTTAGTGTTACCCTTTCTTCGTATTATTCGCATTAGATTTTAGTTATGTTTACTATTATACAGCTACCTACTTAAATAACTGGATAGACATTTTGTTTAACTTTACGCAGGTAGGTACCTAAGTAATAAGATTAAAGTGAGGGTTTTATACATTCGGCGGGAATCTGGAGCTATTTTATGGTGCTGTTTGTTATCTATATCTAATTATCTACTAATATTATAAAGAGGTATTTGTAAGTTTGTATGTTTTTAAGTTTGTATGTAGGTAGGGAGTAATCTTTGAAAAATTATTTCAGTGATAGATAGCTACATGTTCCTGAGTGACATAGGCTATAAAACATCACGCTACGATTAAATGAAGCCGAGCAGCGGGTGAAACCTCGCAATCGTAGCTAGTTATAGATAATTGCTGTTGTTAAAATTCTGATTGTTCAGTAGATACCTATCTAATAAAAACATTGGAGGTTAAATATATTTATTTTGGTAAAAAAAAAACAAGTTTCTGTAAATAATAAACAATACTACCTACTTAGTGAGTAACAATTTGATCTGTTTTTGTGACCTTAGTCGGAACACAAAAGATAATAATTTGTTCCGTACGATAGATAACATGTTTACATTCTGTCTAAAAAATATTACTGGATATCATAATAGCTTTTTCCTCTTATGTTTTTTACCAGGTCTTAGTACATAAGGAAAAATAACAATGAAAACAAACGTAGCCCGGCTTAGAACAAAAGATGGAGCGAGGTGGTTTTTAATCGGCAAGAGTCTGATAATAGACCCCATCACACCATTGACCTTAAAAAATCTTAGTCCTGGGGGCCTGCAGCCCCTTGTCACATAGGTATCTTTTCTCTCTTTAATGCGTTCTTAGTTTTGTACCTTCAGCTGCTACTATTTGTACTTAGTTACAAAAGTTATGGATCGTCTTAAGGTGGGTGTAGGTACAACACTACCTACCAGTCAAGCGTGTAATAAAGGGATGGAAAATGCCATGAGGCTAAACTGTCTGCCGCTGAAATTAATTCAAATGTTTTTTTGAGGGGAGTATATTATCATCATATTTTGCGAGAGGCGAGAGGCGAGAGGAGGTGTCAGATTTTTACTGTTTAAAAACCACCCCGTAGGTACTTGCGCTATTGTGCATGACTCAAACCCCGGTACAGAGAAAGTTTTAGGTAGATACTTAGCTGAAATCGAAACTGAAATGGCATGACACTAGCGACCTTTTGACGAACGAATAATAATTTATCAGACAAGTAGAAGTCTCCCCCTTTACTTTGGATGGTGGTGGACAAACTAGACCGTGTTCAGACACTAAACTTAAGAACCGTTAAACTGTTTTTGCGATTATTCTGTGGAAGATTATAAGTAATATACATCATTAGGTAACATACGTACCTAGTTACTGACATTGGCCTAAGTTGTAGGTGCTAAATACTACTAATACATATGGATGTTTATCTAAAAAAAATTGTTGAATTTGAAATTTGTTATTTTTGATTTTTTTTAGATACGGACTACCAATCTCGATACAGGTATGACTACCCAATCGCCTACATTCAGCCTGGGCAGCACGAGGCCTACCAACAAGTAAGTTTTAATTAAAATTAGAGTCACTCATATTAATTGCAACTGCTTTGGGATTTGCGATGTCTATGGACGGATCAAAAAACTTACAACCTAAAGTTTTTACGGTTTCTTATCAATAGCATCGCCTTCTACCACTAATTAATTAGTAAATGAGTTAATGGCATCAATTGACGAGGCGGGTGGTCTGTACACATATTAAAGCAATCAGCCCGGGTTGTGTGCTTGTGTCATGTCTGTAAAACTGACACACACAGACGTATAAAATACATAAAGCAAACAATCTGATTGCTTCATCTTAATACTTATTTGTATGGAATGGATTCTTTATTCTTCACTTAAAGCAATTTTAATTTAAAAAACAAATAAGCTGAAATACTATACTCGTAAATATTTAGACAGGCTTGAATTTTATGGTAATATTATTACACTTAAAGCATTACCGTCAAAACATCCGGTGACCTTCCAACCATCGATTTACCGGTCATTCAATTTAACGAAACATGAAAAAATACAATGGAACTTCTGTTTTTTCTTGGAAAAAATTTAATCGTATTGTATTTACTTGTGCGGTTGTGCGTCTATTAAGCTTGAAATAACTATCGAAGTACCTACTTTGATATAAAAACTATTCGCTTATGAGGTCACACATTCTTATGATCAAACCACAAACCAAACCGTCTTCTGTTTTTCAATAATAATATCTATATGTTTGTATTATTTAAGTGTAAGGTTGGAAATGGGGTGAATAGAATTCGAGGGGTACATAGACCCAGAAGAGGGGTGAATAGATATTAGGAAAATTCACCAACATCAGTCTATTCACCCCTTTTGTGTATCTATTCACACCATTTTACGGTTAGGCATTAATTATGTATTTTATTTTCAGCTGTACTGCGTAAACCCGCCAACAGTTAACAAGGCTGTAACGACTGTTTGTGACTGGGCTGCTCCCCCACAAGTGCAGTTCACCCTTGGAGACGAGTACATGCATGTGGTCCGCCAGGATCCCACGGGAAGGTTCCTTGGAAACGCCGTCATAAGGACATACCAACTGTGTAACCACAACCGCACATTTGTAACCGACAATTCATCGGTAACAGTTACCAATGTGTAAAGGAATAAGTAAATGAAGTTAAACAATAAAGTTATTTTGTAATTTTTGAATACTATCGTCTCTTTTATTAATATAATATATTAAGTAAAAAACCAAATCTGTACCTTTTTTGGCAGGGGAAAATCATCAAATCCCTTTTCTGGCCCAGGTTGAGGCGAGATGAGTATCAGATTATTACTGATTCACCCTCCCCCTTACCCCTATTCCTTCTATTCTAGGCTGACGCTGCTGTTCCTGTGCCTACCATATGATTTTTTATCTGTTGTGATGGCAGACTTGCCTTGGCAAAGACAACAACAAACGATTACAAAAACTGTACAGGATGGCCAACTTGGAGATAGTGGCATGACCATGATGTACCAGGTACCTACTTAAAACTTAGAAGAGGCCCACATTGCAGCAGTGGAGTTTCATGGGCTGGTATTGTAGATCAGCAGTGGAGTTTCATGGGCTGGTATTGTAAATGTTTGATACTATACCTATTACCTAAGTTGAAGTAGAAATAAAATGCGTACTGTGCCCTATACTTCATCAATAGACTCTCATACTACCTACGCTCTCAAAAAAAAGTTGCAATGAGTTTGGTCTATACTAAAATTTTATTATAAAGAGGTATTTGTAAGTTTGCATGTAGGGGGTAATCTTTGGAATCGCTGGTCCGATTGCCAAATTTTTTTACTGATAGATAGCCAGAATGTTCCTGATTGCTATAGGCTATAAAACATCACGATAAGATCATATGGTGAAACCGCGCGAGAGTAGCTCGTAAACTATGTGTAATTTTGCATAACGTTTGTGAAGTATGCAGTCACAATAATATTTATGTTACGTGTCCGAAAAAATACTAGTTTCCTTGCCAAGTGCACCACGTAAGTACCTATAGGCTATAGAGTATAAAATGTATAATGCATTACAATTGATAGATAAGTAGGTAGGTATCAAAACATTGCTAGCTCATTAATTTCAATTGTTCATGCCTTTATCAATGATTGCATGACATGGAAAATAATCAGAAGCACATGTTCACTCAACTAAGAGATAATGTACGGGATACTAAACTATTATACGCTTGGGTTTTTATTTTTTACCTTCGTTTGTTGTAACAGTCAAAATACTACAAAACCTGTAATACAAATATCATTTTTTGAATACGGTGGGTACCTACGTAATATAATTTAGTTAAAAGTATAGTTATGGTATGGTAACCCTTTATCTATGGTTCTGGTACTTATTTATGTGGATGGAACACGCTAAATGCCAACTATATACTTATTATTATTATATCAAGCACAGGCAATTTTCTTGGTCGTGGACTACTTCCATAATGATCCTACGAATAAGTATATGAAAAAGTTTGCGAAAATGTGTGGATGTAAGCAGGTTTGTTATTCTTTCACGTAAAAACTGTTTGGTCAACATATTACCACTCAGGCGAAGCCGAAGGCGGAAGGAAGCTAGTACTTATAATATTGCTTTCACTACGTTACCTTAGTGTTAAAACATCTCTTTATTTTATCCTTTGAATCTGACTCGTCACCAAAATTGATTGGTGTTATATTGTAGTTTTTGAATAATACTTATGTACCAACCTTTTTTTTTTTCTTTTTTTTTTATCGTGTGGAAATCCTCATGGATACCCTTTGTCTAGACAAGAGCGTCAGACAGCAGGTTATGTCGGACTCTTACCGACTAAAACCACACACTCAATCCCAGAAAACAATGAGAGGGTCACTGGGTACTCGAATGAACGAACTCACCTGCGACCTTCAAATGATGTTACTACCTCTTATCTTTTCGGAGCTAAGTTCTACGGCGATTCCTACGACGCCTCCTTTGTCTCCGAGTTGGGTCTATCCTCTCTCGAAGTACCAACCTAAGAGGGGAGGGCAAATATCTCAGCCTCTGAAAAGCAATATACTTAAATATTGTGTTTCGAAGATCTAGACTCTGGGTTTCTTGAATTCCTAAAGGCATCCAAATCTGGCTGTCGATTTCAACCGGCCGGTCTAAAAGTAATATGTAGAGGTAGGTTCAGGTGAAGGCACGTTTTGGGTATTTTGCGTATGGCTGATATTGCATATTATGATGATGAAAGGAGATCAGATGACTTTGTTCCCTAGATTCGTTTTTATTTTTTGCCTGTACTTTCAACAATAATTGTTATTTTAAAAGGTGCCCACATCGAAGGAGAGGAATTATCATTTGCAGTTAACGGTTTCATTCCGCCGTTTATTCCCATTTTTACGCAAAATGTGACGGTAAGTGAACTTAAACGGTTATTTTGGTGAAGATTAGCATGGGAAGGCTAAACACCTATTAATGCAGTGAACAGATTTTCATACACCAATATAATTCTGAAAGTTATAACATAATAATAATAGTACCCAAGTTCCATAATCGAATCATTGAATTAGTAAATCCCTTTGATAAACGAAATTTTCCAAATATCTAAAGTTTACAAAACTTTTCCATGCGGCCACCAATAATTTGTTGATTAACTAGCCCTTGAAAGTTATGGATCATGTTCTATTTTTTAACCGACTTCAAAAAAAGGAGGAGGTTCTCAATTCGATTGTATGTTTTTGTTTTAGCCACAGCGCACTGATTTGGAGAAACGTTACACGTATCTAAGAGCAGAGTACGTCAGTCCCTTGTCAACGGTTAATGTCGTCTTCGATACAGAAAGTCTTCTTCTAACGTTTTACGTTAAGTTTCCATTTCTCAACATACCTTTCGGAGTTGTCGGTTACTCTGTCAAACCATCTCACAGTAGAACTTGGAATACGTGGAGAAGAGGCAAAAATAACATAATTTTGTAGGACCTGCTCGGGACAAATTGTAATTATAATGTGAATGCCTATAATAAATGTCTAAAAATAACAAAAATAAGCCTATTCATTGTCAAGAGTGCAAGTTATAGCATGAAATTACTACTGTAATGAATACTGGTAAAACACAACAAAAATAGAATAATTATGGAATTTTATATAAAAACTTTATTTTCACTATTGCCGACCAACAATAGTTAAGTCGTCAATTGTAAAAAAAAATCAAAATGATAAAGGGAATTTACAATTTTTGAAGGTCAAAATATTTCAAGATCATTAACACTTTTTGCGTAAACATTATCGATACATAACTATATGGGGCGCTAGTCGTGCGTGCGCATGTTGATGTCGTCGTGTCGCTCGCGCTCTGCCTCACGGTGGTCGCCGGAGACCCGCGCGCTGGCCGACGTGCCAGCCTCGTCGTGCTCGCGCTTGCCCGGCGCCGACGGAGCCGACTGCACCAACCGGCCCATCAGACTCGCGCTTTTGTCTTTGCGAGGCCGAGTCCACTCGTGCGACAACACCCGGTCCAGCGTAAGACGGAGCGTGATATCAGGCTCCAGAATGTGCCGCACGATTGACTTGGCCGCCGCCGATATTGTGTCACGGATCCTGAGCCTGAAAACCCAGTTGCGTGACATTTGGTCCTTGAGTAGTTTGCGCAGATTCGAATCATCGAACGGCATTGAAGCGTTCAGCATTATGAAGAGGATAATTCCGAGAGACCACACATCAGCTAGTTTGGGGTTGTAGGCCGTGCCACTCACCACCTCCGGGGCGGCATATGCAGCGGAGCCACAATATGTTTGACTGAGTACACGGCGATTTTCACCATCCGTGCAGAAGCGCGCAAATCCGAAATCCGCCAACTTCACGTTGAAGCGTCTTGAGAGCAATATATTCTCACATTTCAGATCACGATGTGCTATATTCTTGCTGTGGAGATATTGTAAACCACTAGCCATTTGTCTGAACCAAAGCTTGGCCTGGTTTTCTGGCACAACTCCATTCCGTTTTATAAAATCCAACAGATCACCATTGTCAGCATAACGCATGAAGATAAACACTCTAGGTCCACGCTGTAAAATACTGTGTACTTGAATAATATGGGGGTTCTCGATCTTAGTCAGTATATCAAGCTCACGAGGAAAAAACTTTTTTAAAAAATCTTGAGGTGCTTTTTCTTTGTCAAATATTTTGCACGCGAGGTGCATCCGCTTCGGGCTGGATGCATCGCAGTACTCAGCCAGGTGGACGGTGGCATATGATCCTTGTCCGATTTTCTTGCCGATGAGATAGCCTCGTTGTTCCAAGGCATTCACCTCGGAGCTTCGAGGGCTGAGGCGCTCAGCCATTGAGCTCTATCGACTTTATCCTAACCCGTTTAGGATACATTGGACATCTCACTACTCACGTATGTCCAAGGTTTCAGTGGCTCTCCTGTCAAAATGTTAGTCTTGCGATTGGTATAAGCCTTACACACAACTCTCATGAAAGAGAGTAAATCGATAAAATATCAATAAATCGTCAAAAGCACGCACAAAATTTTGTTAAAATATTACGACATCACAAAGAATTTGGATATAAAAAACGCTTTCACTAGTAAGAAATCTTCCAAAAAGACGTATTTGCTACATTGACGACTTTTTTTTCTTTTGTTTCTAAAATTAAAATGATATTTTTTCAGAAAAGCCTGTATTTGGGTATAATAACTGTAAAAAGATTTTATACTCCAGAAAAAGGTTGAGGATATGAGAACATAAACAAAGGATGCGGTGACCAAAAAATGCAGATAAAATTACTAAAGCTTACGGCCCCTACGTCCCAGTAGATAAACCTGAGAGCTGCAGAAACTATAGGTACCCAGTTACTTATAAAAGCAAATGAATTTTACTTTGTTATATTTTAATTATTTTAATAAGTACTTAGGTAAGTAAGGGTATAACTTAAAAGTACCAATATCACGAATATTAATATTAATTATTGTCTGATTAGTTAAAAAACAATAGATGGACGTGTACTATGCAAATTAACTCATCATTGCAAAATTTTGGTGTTAAAGGATTGTTCTATGTAAGCTAATAAATATATCGAGGTGATTTCCCATCATACGTTAATCACCACTTCACTACTTTTACAAGACAAAGTTGCGATTAATAAAATTACAATAAAAACAACCATCATCCAACCAGTGCCCACTGCTGAGCAAAGGCTTCTTCCCACAAGGAGAAAATTTCAGCATTAATCTTTTATAATTTATCTTTTTAGATTCTACTTATAATGAGAAATTATACGTAAGTCGAGGTTTCCTCACGATGTTTTCCTTTACCATGTGTGTCCGTGCGTCTCGATGAACTTAGAAAGTAGGTATCTAAGACTCTGAAAAGTCATAATGGGACTTGCCTCCTAATGCATAAGAAGCGAGCGCTTTAATCTCTAGGCTACAACGATAATAATGATAATAAATTTTATTTATTTACGGATTACCTGATGATGAGCAATTGACGCCGCCCTTTGAGAATAGATGATTGGGGTGGGGAAGGATTGGGCGACCGGCTACCTCACTCACACTGCGAAACACATCGTAAATATTACTTAGCTCACGCCGGTTTTCTGTGAGGACGTGGTATCACTCTGGTCGAGCCAGCCCATTCGTGCCGAAGAATGGCTCTCCCATACTTGAAAATAAAATAATATACTGAAAAGAATTAAAATGGCCCAGGATTTAAAGTGAAAACGAGTAAAAGAAAGTTAAAAGTACATAAAACAATGAAATTACTAAGTCAGCTTAAATAGGCCCACTTACTAGGTACCTACCTACATTACACTGTAACATAGATAACAGTTTGAAAACATTATTGGGAGAAGCTAACATTCATATATTAAAGCCGTAATAGGTACTTTGCATTTGTAAATGGAACCTACCTACTGGTGCTATCACTAAATGGATCAATGTACCTACCGAAGTTTCCTTTAAAGTATTTTATTATTAGATGTAAGTAGGTAGGCAGTCATCATAACGTTTGCCAAAATTAATATGAAATTTAAAACAAAAATCTACTAGTGGGACTCGTGCAAGAAGTATTTCGTTCAAAAATCACTTTTGTTGTATGCTACCCTCAAATATTTATTTTAATATAGGTAAGTAATATTATTTCTCTCTCTTTCTAATTATTTGTTGTTATAGAGGAAACCAAAACTTAATCAGACCAAATTCCAACTGTCTATCTAGGGCAATTCGTCAGTTATCCAAACAAATATTATAAATGCGAAAGTAGCTCTGTCTGTATGTCTGTATTTTCTTTACGCCTAAACTACTGAACCTATTTGTGTGTTTGGTACAGACAGACATAGTTTGGAACTCGAGGAAGGACATAAGATAGTATTTAAACCAAAAATCAGCAGTCACTATTCCACGCGAACAAAGTCGCGGACAAAAGCTAGTGAATGTAATAACTCTTGATGACATACAAATGGAGGCGGAGCAGGGTTTTAGTAATAGTGCTACCGTTGTTATTAAAATAGGACCCTAAAAAATGTCAAATAATTCTTATTCAAATTCTTCATATTAGTCATACATTCATAGGTATTTATATACAAGTAAATTATTCTTAATTGTGTAATTAATACTTATTGCTTAGTGTCACTTTGCTTAAATTAGAACGTATTATTTGCTTAAATTAAACTAAAAAACCGAAACCGACCGAAACGTATTTTTTCCGAGAACTGTCAAAATATTCTGTCACTATTCTGTCAATGTCAAATTGCAATCATTGTATTTGTCATCAAACTTCAAAATATTCTCCATAGAAAAGTAGGCGTTTTGTATAGATAAACTTATTAATTTTATTAGAAACAAATGTAATAATATGAAAAAAACGATAATTCACATATAACAGAAACTGTGTTTAACAAATAAGTCTTCAAGATGATGAACCAATATATAAAAGAGTTAGAACAGGTGAGTAAATAAATGTTCCTATAGCTGGTCTTTGATGATAAAATGAAATGAAAACATTATTATCTATACTGTATAAGTTATAAATTTTCAATAAATTGGGGAAAAATATTTAAAATGTTTGTTGATTTATAGGATCCGTTCGATCCTGATGAGTTCGTGGAAAGAATGGTACGAAGAAGTATGCAGGAGTCGCGTTTACAAGACGACCAATTTGATCCAGAAATGATACATGACATTTTTACGCAAGCCATACAGGATCTAAAGGTATTTAAGCACCTTTTTTAAGGATTTATCCATTATTTGCAAAGAAGAAATGTATTAATTGTAGTTCCGTAACTAGTGAGTTATGAGGAAAATGCCAGCAGTGTACTTCTTTTAATGTGGCCGCGACTACTATTTCTTCCTACTCCTGTGTTGTGGGTGTGATAGCAAACAAATATTCAACTAATATTATAATTGTGAAAGTTTATAAGTATGGGTGGATCATCTGATACATAAAAACAAATGTACAAATCTAAATGAAATCACACTTAGAATTACATTATAGTCTGAAATAGCCCAGAGGTTTCTTTTATTCGGATATGGCAACAAAATAAAATGCTGCAGGTCAAGTAGCTGGTTGAAAATATAAACCTATTCGTTTATAGGAAATTTTAATTTTATAACTCTGGTAAGACTTACAATGTTATGCATTTCTCACATATTTGGCTGTTTGATGTGATATCTTCAGTTTGAAGCCATTCCAAGGGCTGACAGTTTTGTGAGTCGCAAATAAAACAACATTTTATAGATTTATTGCCTTAGTATATATATACCTATGAGGATAATTTCAATTGTTTGAAAAATATCTTATAAATACGTGTTATACACAGGTTTTACAAGAAAGACAAGAAAGAAAATGTGCAAGACTGGAGCAAGCTGTTCAGGAGGAGGAGAAGCTATATGGTGCTAAATTAGCTGAAATCATGGATCAACACACTGTATGTCAACATAACTTTTTATTTTCTATGTGATAAACTTATTTTTAATTGTAATATCCATTTAACAGCGGTTCCACAATTTGGAACAAAAGTTGGCACCTTCCTTAGGAATCACAATGTATAATATCTATGGCATTATTAATAATATCCTGATCACTGTTTACATCCCAAAAGTTGTCTGTAAGAAATCATGTTTGTTTTTAAGACTGCCCATTGTACACATTATAAAATTCCATGTTACATTACAAAGGTGTACAATAAATTGCAAAATAAAAACATCACTACAAATTGATTGAGTGCCTTTAGAATAAAAGTCAATTTGTGAATGCAAATGAATTTAAATGTTTGTTTACCATACTGTGATTCCTTAGCCAAGTGTTGATATCATGGCAGCTTGCATCCCCGTCTGCAAAGTTTACTCCTTCGGCAAATGGTAGGCATCTGAAGGTGAGGTGTAAGACTTAGGTGTAGCAGATTAAAAAGTGGTCACTTATAGGCTAATAATAGGAAAGAACTAACTTTATATTGTTTTTTTCCAGCATTGTGTAGGTGTCTTCAGTGCTCTAGATGAGCGTATGTCACGTTGTGGTGGGCGTGCCTTAGACGTTGGCGAGAAGTTGGGCGCTGCGCGTGCGCCGCGGGCGAGGGCTGCAGCCGCCAGGGATCTATTGTCACATTTGTCACATTTCCTGAGCCCTGGGCCAGTACTCATTGATTTATTCAATGATTCTAGCAAGGTTTGTGTAATATTGTCAATAATTATATTCTCTTAATTTTACAAAAAAAAATATCTATATAATATGTTACTGTTATTAGTGTTTAAGGAAATACGTAAATAGCTTTACTAGAAAGACTAATGTTGTAATGGAAACCGATCAGGTCTCCTTCGAAATACCCATATCATAGTACTCCTGGCTTGGTTAATATATAAGTCGCAAGTTATGTTTCCCTGCTAAGTTGCGCTTGCGTTAACTTTTTGAACATTAGCCTTTTCATTTAATAAAATGAGAACTATATATATATATATATATATTGGAATTGTAAATATTATGTTTTTAATTATTTCTTGTATTCAATTATTATTCTTCAAATAAAATTATTTTTATAATTATTTAACATTACAGTTGAATGAAGCAGCAGATGTCATTCAGAAGCTACACACTATAGCTCAAGAGTTGCCACCAGATAAATTTGAAGTTGCTAAAAAGAAAATAGAAGCCAAGTACGATGAAATCGAAAGGAACCTCATTGAAGAGTTTGTGAAAGCGCAGAATCAGGGTAACATGAGTAAAATGAAGGAAATTGCGAACATTATGACCAACTTCAAGGGATACTCACAATGTGTTGATGCTTACATTGAGACTAGTCAAATGGTAAGTACATAATAATATTGTAAACTGAGATTTTTGTCTACTGAGTTTAGATAAATTGTGGTGACCCTAAGGTTAAGATTCCATACGAAACGAGCAGATAGATTACCTGGTGGTAATACCTGATGGTAAGCAATCGGCGCCGCCCATGGACACCCGTAACGCCAAAGGAGGTAAGAAGAGCGTTGCCGGCCTTTTGGGGATAAGGGTTACGGATATTTAAGGATTGGGAAGGGATAAGGGAGGGAAACACGATTAATAAAAGTATAGATATATTTCAATATTTTATTGTATTGAAATATCGAATTAATTTATATTTGACCTAGGAAAGTACCCAATTAGTCATTATTGTAATGTAAAATTTATTTTTGTGGCACAGTGTTTTATATACATAGTGTTGTTAGTGTTCCACAAAACAGGTTTATTGGTTTGACTATGGAGCCACATTTGTAGGTTTATCTCTATGTTATGGTCTATGGTTGTATAGGTAATTTAGAAATAAAACACATGCTTTTATTACTGAAATCGATATATAGTTACAAGCTTAGCAAATATTTTGAATTTTAACATGAAAAATCACCGAAATTTCTTATTTAATTTCCAGAACACATTACTCGGCAAGGATATATTCTCTGCAGTACTGCCCCTATGCAAGAAGAATTATACCATCATTAGCAACGTGTTCCCCAACCCTGACCAGGTGATGAGCAAGTTTGTGCTGAACATCTTCCATCTGAAGCTACAGAAGTACATCCAGACCAAACTGGCTGATAAAAATGATGTGGAGAAATACTTGAGGAACCTTTATGATATGTATACTAGGTATAGAATTCTTTTTTATTATTTTTCTTTATGTACTAAAGAGGTTTTTTAACAAACCACAAACAAAAAAGCTATTATCTATTTCACACATACAAATATATAATTAGCCTTACAACAGACAATTTGCAGAGATTTTCCTCAGTATGATTGCAAGATATAAGATTGAGTTTTAAAAACTTTTTGCTATAGACAATCTTCGTTTGTGTCATATTTATTTTTATGTAATAGGACGACAAACAAGCAGATGGATTACCTGATGGTAAGCAATTTTGGTGATTAGGGTTTCGAAGATTTGGGGATTGGGCAAGGGGAAAAATAATCTAATCTAAATCATTTATAAAACGCTTCCCAAAACAATTCGAGCACTAACACAGTACTAATAAAATTATAATATTCGTTTAATATTATTATTATTTCTAGTACTCAAAGAGTATGCGAAGAGTTGGTTCTTGCTGGTCTGGTGTCCGCAGAAGGAAATTCAGCGACTGGCGACCTGCGCAGAGACGCGCTTATCAATGGCGCTATGGCGGGCGCCAACGATGGATATGCATCATTAGAAATACGAAGACTTAAAGCCGCCATGTCGAACGCTTTGAATACATATTACACGGAGAAGCAACATGTCAAAAAGCCAATACAGGGTGGCGGGTAAGCTCCTTTTTTATCACGTTATTTAGTGATCTTCAATATATTCTCGGATCAAGATTGTATATGGATGCATATGCCTCTGTTACGTTTATATTATATGTACGGTGGCCAGTAGGTTAAAAATATTTATTTCTGATGTTTTTATACTCACAATTAAATATTCATAAATAATCATACTTTACTTTCATTTGTTGATTAGACGATACAATTTTCCATGATGCAGTTACACACAAAAATGATGACGTTCTAAAAGTACCTATTTACGTTTGGTTTAGTTGGAATAAATGATGTTGACTTTGACTTTCGACTTTAGACTTCATGACGTCATAAATGCAATTTCTTAACAAAATATAATAGAGTACCTATAGTTTTTGACATTTGGATAAAATAAATTGAATTTGAATAGTTGGAAACTATCGTATTTTTATACTAACAGTCAAGAATAAACACAGAAAAACTTTAACCAATTTCTAATCACTTATATACTTTCCCCCAGGTTCCAAGAATTAAGACGTGAATTTCAAGCGCGAACGAATATCAATATAGCTCAGATAGAAAACTATGGAGGAGAGACCTTCCTAAGCGAACAGCTTGTTCAAAAGATGATCAACGATGCCAAAACATCTTTTACGAGGTGCAAGACTGTGAGTATCTTTATAACAATCCAAAAACATTCTTCTTAATCCTTAATTTTTTTATTAAATCCTTTTTGAATCCTCACACTGGAATGTCCTTTGTTGTCTATGCCGGAAACATCAATTTGTAAATGACAGAAAGCGTTATTACTTTCCTCACAGAAACCGACGTGATGTATACTACATACTTATGTTGTGTATCGTCGTTTGAGTGAGGTTGCCGGAGGCCCTCCATCCTTAATCCTCATATCCCCAGCAACCCATAAGAGGCAGTAGTAACTCCTTTGGTATTGCGAGTGCCCATGGGCGGCGCCGATTGTTGAATCCGTCTGCTCGTTTACTGACCGAAAAAAAGAAAGCGGGCAAAATCTAGTTTTCTACAAATTGACTATACATATAATTTCTCTTTATATTTTCAGTTGTGCACTGCAAATGAGTTGTCAGGCACCACTGTGGCCTTACTCGAAGTGGTAATACAGCACCTGCTTATTGAACACGTGGATTACGCTCTCGATTTGGGCCTCCAGTCCATTCCTATTGCCGATAGCAAGTCACCACCACCACAAGTAAGAAATCAATTTTTGATAACATAAATATAATGCCATGTCGGCGAGTAAAGGCAGCTCGCCGCCCGACCAGAACCAGGCCCGAGCGTACTGCGCGTAGCGTTCCGCGCGCGCCTCAAAGAGCCAATAGACCACCACAGGCGGGGCCCTATAGGGCTGATGTTCAGCCGGGGTTGCGGCGTAAGCGCAATGAGGCACCGCGACCTCGGCCCAGAGCAGGAGAAGGAACAGGGACAGGAAAGGGGTTTTTAGTCAGTAAGAGTCTGACACTCCCTCCCGCCCGGCCCTGGGCGTTAGAAGACATTTGATGGTTTTCCCTCACAAAAAAAAATAATGCCATTGTTTTTGCACAAAAATTTGTTTACTAGGCGGAATTAATGCCACAAGTCCTTCTCTGCCAGTCCAACCTTTGGTTGATGTAGAAAGGAATTAACAGTAGGTACAAGAAGCAAAATCTAGATGTGACTGATAATGTATATTGCATACATAACACACGCTTAAATACTTAAAAAAACATTTATTAATATTACTTACAAATGTTCCCCTCATTTGCGTTTTATTCTGTGTCTTGGTGTGTTTGTAATGGCAGACATATAATTTCACGTACACGTGAAATCTAAACTAGAAACAACAATTGTTGATTGCACAGTGTGGTTCCTTGCATAAAATTCTAGTATTGTAAATCTTCATAGTAAACTAATCATAGATTAGAAATACACATGTGAAACTGGAAGGGTGCTGTTTCTTATAGCACAGTTTTGTCTTTTTTAGTAATGATAGTACATTATGAGCTTTATTTTATCTATACTGAGGTCTGGATCACACAAAGAGTTGTTCCGTGCGGGAACCGATCCCGTGGCACGTTGCACGGCAACCAGTTGCCATCGCACCAACCCTGCAATCCGGCGCCAATATAAAAAACCCTAATTGACATTTGCTCGAATATGGGAATTGATTCTAAAATCCTATACTTTGTTGTTGCGCATATACTTAAGTTATTAAATATTTGCGCAAAGAATTAGCGCAATGATTGCGCCGTTCTATATAATAGTAAAGTATGCCATTTTTGCCGCTTTTCAGACCTATTTTCAACGCAATCGATAACAAGATCACGTGCGCTAGCCATTATTTGCTGTACCTGAAATAGTTTGTAGTTATACAAATAATAAAATATGTAAAATAAAGTTATAAAATACTATCATGTACTCATAAAATAGAAGTGCGATAAACTGTTACGAAACTCGGTAATAATATTTTGAATTTCGCAGATTTATTTCTTCGACATCGTGAAGCAGGCAAACAAAATTGTTCGAATGTTTGAAGAGCATTATCAGGAATCTGTCTTGACGTGTATAACGTAAGTATACGATTTGAAAAAATGGCAAAATAGACTTTATAACAACGAGATAATGACGAAACATAACATGCGTAAAAAATTCTAAAGACCATTTGGTCATATGCTGGTATGATACGAAAAATGTATTCAAAATTAAATCTTATCACTACACACTTTAGATTGATAGTATAATTTAACTATATTGCACATAATTACATTAAAATCTACATAATTTTACTTATTTTTAACAAAGCCGGCCCTTGACAACTGATGGGATAAATTCTGCTAGGCAACGTAGAAGGTAACGTGTAGCACCCAATAGAGGTCTTAGAAACGATAATAAACCTTCTCATTTATGATATGCAAGCGATATTTAACCTTAACGTAGTGAAATTACGCTAATAATCCATACTATACTCTGTTATATACAAAGTTCATTATTAGATGTAGAAAGTTCTTCCATTAATTGTAGTTTAGATAATCTATACTACGCTAGACTACTCGTACTTGTTAAGTCGTATATTTTTATATAAAGTATGGGTAAGGCCTTCTATATAAATATACCTTTATTTTTTTACTCTCGGTAGTGATTTAGTAAAACAAAACGCTACGCGTAACTGTTACAAGTGCATGTTGCGAGAGTATGTACCTATTCAACAATTTACTACTTCATAACTCTATTTTAATACTATTACATTTTTTTAATACCTAACTAGCTACTCTCGCGCGGTTTCACTCGCTGCTCGGCTCCATTTAATCGTAGCGTGATGTTTTATAGCCTATAGCACTCAGAAACATTGTAGCTATCTGTCAGTTAAAGAATTTTGAAAATGTGACCAGCAGTTTCAAATATTACCCCATACATACAAACTTACAAATTTTACCTCTTTATTAGTATAGATTGAATTCAACTTTTTCCTTTCACTTTGTTCATTTAATAAAATATTATTTTTATGCTGTTCGGTTTATAGTAGGTAATAATTCTTAACCTGTAATTGACACTTGTATAACCCAAAAAATCAAAAAAAGAGGTGTGTACAATACACTCCTCTTTTTTTCAACACTCTGTATAGGTACAGAAGCTGTTCATAATCAACGTGATAATCTCTTAAGAGCGTTTTCGAGAATCGCGACGTAGATTTTCATACAAACTTGTTAGGAAACTCCATTAATTTGGACTACATCAATTTTAATGAAACTTGGTTTCGACACCCTATTTTCCATGGTCTTAAATGTAACTTAAAATGGTTTCGAGAAGGAGTTTGAGAGGCAGAGAGAGAAAGGGAGAGGGAGATCACGTATAATTCGCCGGTTCAAGATTTATTTTAAGTATAGAATACTTAGATAGAGGCCATGATATTGAATGTGAGTACCAAATTTCATTGAAATTGCTTACGCAATTTTAATAAACTTGAACTTGGAAAGTTGGTATGAACACTCGCCGCCGCTTAAAATTTCTCTTAAAAAAGTTTTAAGAAAAAATGTACATAATTTTAATTAGAGTTATTTTTACAGTTCAGCAACAAAACAAAACGATTGTATGCAAAGGAAGACCGCTATCATGGACCAGCTTGAGAACAAGCTGGATGTTGGATTAGATCGATCTATTACGGCTATTGTGAGCTGGGTCAAGATGCATCTTCAAAATGAACAAAAGAAAACTGATTTTAAGCCCGAAGGAGATATTGATACACTTGCATCGTCGGTATGTTCATCTACATCACGTTATCTATATGTATATGTGTCCCAGAGCGTACGGCGCGTAACATTCCACGCGCGCCTCAAAAAGTCATCAGTATTTGACTCGTAAAATACTTTGGAAATGTCGTTATACCAAGGTATTTACATAAATATAATCGACAAAAAATTGATTTACCTGATGGCAATTGTAAGCAATTGGCATCAGCCATGGGTGTCCATGCAACAAAACTTCCATGATGTAACAGACGCGTTGGCGTCTTTTTTAATTGTATTTCGTCCTTTTTACAAGTTTTTATTACTCGTAACTACATACTCTAGTCAGCACTAAAGTAGAGAATTATGTTCTATTAGCCTATAATTAATTGTGACGTCATCAGGCATGTCTGGCGGTCGTCAATTACCTGAACAACGTTATGGACAAGATCCATGGAGGGCTGGAAGGTGAGAACCTTCATGCAGTCACTCTGGACTTAGCCGTGCGACTACACAGGGTCATATACGAGCATCTCCAGAACTATCAGTTCAATTCAGCCGGTAAGTTATTTTAAGCTTTAATGTTATAGGCATAAGGGTCAGGATGTGATAAGGTTTTTATTTAAAGTCATGCCAAGTTCTATCAAAAATCATACGTATTATTAAAAGTCCAAGATGCTATTTAGTTTCCCAAAAATACTGTTTATCAATTGTTTGTAATTATCGAAACTGTGAAATGCATATCTGAAAAATCGTATTCAATTAAAGAATGGTTGAAGTTAATGGATTTGATAAACGAGTTGAATAACCGATCCATCTTATCGTTCATGATAACTTTAGCAATAAATGCTATGGCCAAGGTAAATGTAGGATTAAAGTTAATACCACTGTCCAGGTGTCCGGTAGTTAACAACATCTTTGTAGATTGATTTCGCCATTGGACCTAGCTTTTTACCTTCCTGAATCACGCTGGATTTCAGGGGTTGAGGATGAAGTGGGCTTGTCCCATTAGAAACTACTTTATATTGATGTTGCATTTGTTATCTCTCTGGCTCGCGTGGGATTGCTTTTGTTTTGTTTTCGTGGTTATTTCTACTGTTTACGCTGGCTAACAGAAGCTACAGCGGTTTTGAGGAGGTGTCGTGGGGTTGTCCCATTAAAAAATAATTAAATTCAAAGTAAAAAATCATTTATTTCAATAAGACCCTTACAGGCACTTTTGAACGTCAACCAAAATTTTAAAGATATAAAGTGTCAGCCTATCGGCTAGTCCTCTTAGTGAATCTATTTGCTCGTTTCAAAGTGTAGATTCTGATGGAGAAGAACGAGCAAGAAACTCCATGGTTACTCTTTTTAAAATCAGTTTCACCTACTGATTCCTTATACAAACAGTTGGTTCAATTATGTGAGAACAGTGTAACATTAATATTTAAAAACAAAATAAAAAAGAAATTGATTTAATGTTATATATCTATCTAGGTGCTATGATAGCTATATGCGACGTGAAGGAGTACCGCAGCGCAGTTTGCGGGCGCGGCGCCCGCGCAGCGCCTGCGCCCGCGCACGCATTGTTCGATGCACTGCACGCACTCTGCAACCTACTGCTCGTCAAACCAGAAAACCTACACCAAGTCTGCGAGGGTGAAACTCTTGTGAGTCATTCATTTATTTTAATTTTCTTTTTTTAATTGATAGGTCAGCAAACGAGTAGGCGAATTACCTGATGGTAAGCAATTAGCGCCGCCCTACATACATCTACAACAACAGAGGAGTTACAAGTGCGTTTTCGACCTTTTGGGCATTGGGGTTTTGGAGATTGGAGAGGGATAAGTGGAGGGGAAGGATTGGGTCTCCGGTACGTTATAGAGTGAACGTTCACTCTTACCCTTGTTTCTTCATACCCTTTCACGATTTGCAGAGTCAAAGTTAATGTATTTATTTCAATTAGATTGTACGAATTTCTTGTTCCAAACATTTGCAAATATTTGCTATTTGCTATTTTGGTAAATTCTAGCCACTATTCTAGAATGGTCTTTTACGATTCAAGAAATCACAGCCAAACTAAACTGAATAAAATACTCTTTGTTTGCACCTTCGAGGAGTTCTCGATCTACAAGGCCGTAGTGTACAGTAGTAGTAGTAGTTGCAGTCTAATAGAACTACATAGAAATTGGCATTCAACATACAATTTCCTGTGTGTAACAAATAAAATATGTAATGTGTTACGCTGTTACGGAATAAAATTATACATTCGATATTGCATAACTTCCGATTGTAAAAATAACTGTTCGATCAAGTTTATTCTCACTAGTTTTCCAAGAGCGGCTATGATCACGTGACAAAAAATGAATCACTATATCACTCTTCAACAATCTTCAGACACAAAAAATATATACTTGAAATGCTCCTTTGCCACGCGAAAGACAAATAAACACAAATAGGCTGGCGGAGACCCAATTCGTTCTCTCCATCCCTCCCCAATCCCTAAAACCCCATAATCCCTATCCCAAAAATGTGGGTAACACACTTGCAACTCTTTGGGTGTTGCGGGAGTCCATCTAATCCGTATGATTGTTTACACCACATATATAAAAAAGCGTTTATTTATTGCTAGGTTGAAATACGCAAATCAACTATAATTTGTAGCCTACAGCAGTAAGGACCATTGTAGCTATATATCAATGAAAGAATTTTACAAATCCCACCAGAAGCTCTGAAGATAACCCTAATATGCACTTACAAATTCTACTTCTTTATAATATTAGTGTAGTTATTTTTCTCTATCAATGATATGGTATTTTAGTCGGAGTCTGGGTTTTGGTAGAATCGAAGGCGAAACATATGCGATAGGGGAAAAACAGTGATATACATATGAAAAAATGTATAAAATGAAGTCTGTAAGTATCTCCTTATGGTGCACCATGTCAAGGTCATATTTAAAATCGCGTAGCGTAGTCATAATAATCCTTTGACTGAGCTTAGTTCGGTATTTTTTTCTGACAGTGAAACCTGTCTAGATTTATACATATTTGATCCTTGAAACCCTTTACGTAGAATTTTTTTCGTCTACATTCGTGTTGTTTCGTACATACCTACACAAGAATTGATTGTTTGAAAGTATTTAGTAGGTATATTATGTTGTATTTTGCTTAGACTCCATTCGCGAGTCTGAATACTTGTGTTATTAGTTTGATTTGAATTCGGAATTCTGTGTCAATTTTTAATTCTGTAGTTTCGAACTAGTCAAATTCAATACTTTTATTGAAATGTCAAAAACGATACTTTTCTATGAATTTTATACTACATATGAGATCGCAACATATGACGTTAAAGCGCATACTTATTTTCAACAAAAATCTAAAATTAGGTATATCGTCAAATCAATCAATGAGAGTATGATTATATTTTCATAATTCCTTGTATTGAAAATTCAAAGTAATTGAATTTTGACTAGGAAACTACCAAATTGTGTTTGATTAGTAGTGGCGAGATTTAAGTAATGATAATTAAGTACTTATTATTATATTTTTATTGCACGGTTGATGCATTGGCTAATCATGTCTTGTTATGGAACCAAATACAGATCACCAGACTGCACGGTTGGTGCGGTGGCTGGGCAAATGGCTGCCGTGCAACGTGTCGCGGTTACGATTCCTACAACAATTTGTGTGATCCACAAATTGTTGTTTCGGGTCTGGGTGTGATATGTATGTGAAATTGTATATTTGTAACCGCACCCACGACACAGGAGAAAATCCTAGTGTGAGGCAACGTTTTATATTAAAAAAAAAGAAAAAATATACACCAATACATTTTAAATAAACAAAACTAGACCCGGTTTTGATGTTGTTGTAATAAATAAGTTTATTAGTTTTCCGCCTATGGTTTCATCCACGTGCTCAAATACATAATCTATCATACTGAAATTATGAATCCAAGAGTTTGTATATTTGCAAGCGATAATCTCCAAAAGTTCTGATTCGAATTGAACAATTTTTGTGTGTTGGAAAAGCCTTTATAAGGAGTAAGTGTATTGGCTATAAAACATCATGCTACGACCGATAGTTATTAAGGTGAAACCACGTGGGAATCTGTGCAGTAGTTTTTGAGTTTATCGAATTTATAAACAGACAGCCCCGAAGCGGTATTTCTTCAATGTATAATATCTGCATGTTGGAAGCATAAGGATAAAGGCTTGTATGCTAAAATGAACTTTAGCGCATATGCCTTTAAGGTGCAAGTTAGTGAAAATGACAAGTAACTTTTGTTTTTATTCAACAGGCTGAATTGGATCACTCGATACTGAACAACTTCATACAACTTCGGGCGGACTACAAGAGCCACAAGCTATCCAGTTTCCTCAAAGGACTTTCTTAAACAATAACTTTTGTATAGGAAGCGACGTCGTAACTTATTGAGTAACTAGCACACGAAAGTTTTAAACCCATTTTATAAAAAAATAACCTAATTTATTATTTTGATTAAATATTCGATCATGGTAAGAAGTAGATAATGTTTTAGTTTAATAATATAAATGTGAACTTATACTAGAATAGAAATCATGTATTTATTTATTATATTAACGGTTTAAGTTACGGTGTCGCTTCCCCTTCGTTTAGCTTAAAGGTTTGTAGAATAGTTCTCTTGACTGAAGTAAATGGTCATAATGAACAAGTCAAAGACAATCGCTTACTTTAGTATTTATACTGTATTACATATCTAAGTGATATATTGTTGCTTTGTATAGTCGGTAAAACATTATCAGTCTTACTAATAAAAAAAATTAAAACACGTGTTTAACAAGCGTATACTTACACAGTGTGTAAGGAGTGATTAAGAGTTACACGCTACCCTTACTAATAAGTAACGCATAAGCATTGTATAGTTATCAATAAGTTAAAACAAAAATCACTGGCAACATTAATTGTGAACGTTTTGAAACCTCTTCTAGATACCGTTCGTTATGTTTGGATATTGCGAAAATACTCTGAAATAGTACCAAATAAACGTAATTTTATATCAATGATTAAAATAAATCAAACTGTTTTTATTTACAACTAGAGGTTTATAAAAAAAAATATTTTTAATGAAAAACATTGCTTAATAGTCATAGTTATAATGCTGTTTGTTTTTGAACGTACCTTTCAAGTCACGACATGACATTGACAATTTTAATTAAGTAGAGAAGTTTTAAACTCCGACAGAACTTTCAACTTTATTTTATTCAGATTTGTTAATTATTGTGATGGCTAACGCAGTACAAGACATAAAGAAACGGAAACGTTCAGCAAATTGGGATAATTTAGAAAAGGTAAATAAAAGTTTGAGTAAAAAGCATACTTGAAACATGTTTGATGTTTAATAATATTACCTATCTTTCAGGATTTATTGAAAAACTGCATGAAGGAGTTTGTGTCTGTAATAGAAAATAAAAACACGGACACAAACACAAATAAAAGTAAAACTGCCGCTTGGCAGACAGTGATGAAAAGGTTTATAAAATTATTACATGCTTTGAAAACCCAAAACATTTCTCGGGCTTACATAACTATTACATACTAATATTTTTGTGTATAAACCATTGTAGGTTTAATGAATTAAATTCCCGACAAAGGGAATTAGCTGAAATTAAGCAACAGTGGCGAACAATGAAGCTTGATGCAAAGAAAAATATGTCTCAGATAAAGACATTGATAAAATGCACAGGCGGCGGGCCAAAACCACCTAGTCCAAATCCTGAAACTCTTGACATTTTGGACATGATTCCACAAGAATTTGAGACAGATTTTAATGAATTTGATAGTGATGGCATCGCTACCAAGGTACTATTTTATTTTTTCATTAATTTTTAATATCCTTTTAAATCAATTTTAAACATTCTTAATTTATTTCAGAAAGAAGATTCTCAGCTCGTACATATACAAGATTCCCAGCTTATTCATATACAAGATTTACTTACTCCAGAGGAAAAAAAGGTTTGTTTATTATAAATAAAGGTATAAATATCTTTTTACTCCAGTGTAGATATAAATTTATGTTTGTAGAGCTATGTTTATCCGACTAGATATTATTTATATATTTGACATATTGTCTTTATAGCGCTAATTGTGAAAATTATTGATTCTGATATACTTTTATTGTCCTATATTACAGAACAGCGAGTCTCAGCTTGACCTTGGCACTCAAGAATTTGTTGTTACTGAAGTGGATAATAGAGACACGGCTAAAGAAGTTGGTTGTTTTAAATTTTTATTATAATTATGCATATTCAAACTGGTAATTAATTAGGTTATTTGAAAAGGTCTTCAACACAATTTATAATAGTGTATGTTTTTTTTTTAGAATATCATACCTTTAAGAAAAACCACAAACCACTTTAAACAATCGGGTGTCAAGCGTAAGCTGCCATTTAGTAATGGGCATAGATCAACTTCTATGGTAAGATCAATTTAAATATATGTTTGTAATATTTTAATGTTTCCTACATAAATATCCAATTTTTAGACATTAATATAATTATAAAGACATAGGTATCATTGATACAATTGTTTTTGTATACCCTACCTAACTAACCTACCCTTTGAATACCGTCATTAGTGAAACAACAGAAAGACAATAGAAGCGGATGCCGCAGTGTGTAATGAATTACATGTTTAAAGGTAATAATCACGAGCTTTGTTTCAGGATGACTCTGGTAAAAAGCGGAACGAGGTCCTTATTAATTGTCTCAGAGAAGAGCACCATATAAAAATGAAAAATATGGCCGAAGCTCATAACTTTGCTGCAGAAGAGCATAAACTAAGAATGCAACAAATGACTGAACATCACAATTTATTAAAGGAAGAATATAATTTGCAACTAGAAAAACTAAAATTAGAAATATTGTTATTAAAATCAAAAGGTACAATAAAGGAATAGTCATAGTTATTTTTTTCTTTCTAATTACCTTTATTATTATTAACTATAAACATTCATAAAAATGGAGTTGTCTGTGTCTCTCTTTTGAATTTATGTAATTATGTATAATGAAGAATTAGTTCAATGTGACACTTGCAATGTAGTATTAATACAAAGATATATATATGTCAAGAAGATAATTTTAAAAATGGGTTTCAATAAATAATCGTCTCGCTGCTTGCCCAGATATACTATCTGAAGTATGTGTATGCCTTTGTATAGTTTCAGTATAACTAGATCTAACAGGCTCTAGGAAGTCAATATCTTCTTTCATGTCAATGGCAATATTATGTAATACTGCAATTGCTACAATGTATAGTTTTACATTTTCTAACGATACACTGAAACCATGCAGTAAACATCTAAATCGCTGCTTCCATACACCAAAACACCTTTCAATAGGGTTTCTTGTCAATATGTGGAATTTATTGTATGTTTCCTCTTTCTCATTATGGGGATTCAGAATTGGTGTAAATAGATAATCTGTCAAACCATATCCAGAATCCCCGAGCAAACGGCCATTAAATTCGCCAACTTCAAATCTTTGTCTAATCCGACTTTCTCTAAAAATTCTAGCATCATGTGTACTGCCCCTCCAATGTGCCACTATGTCTCTTATTTTCAAATGAGAATCGCACACTACTTGAACATTTATTGATGAGAATCCTTTCCGATTTATATAGTATTGGGCACTATCGCCAGAAACTTTTTTAATTTTTATATGGGTACAATCGATAGCACCAATCACATTCCGAAAGCCACAAATGTTTCTAAACCCTGATACAACTTCTTCCTGTTCTGCAGTATTTCTAGGCATAAATATAAATTGAGGTGCTTTTTGAGCTAAGGACATAGCCACTCTTCGACATACATTAGTAATGGATTGCTGGCTAAGTCCATGTATATCCGCTGAGTCATCTTGGACTTCTTGTCGAGCCCACGTTCTTAGAGCAGTGCATACCTGTACTTCTGCAGACAGTCCGCCACCATTCGCTTTTTTCTCGATGTCCGATCTAACTAGATCCACAATTTTTCTTGTATATGTTTTACTAAACCTATATTTCTTTCGAAAGTCCTCTTCATTTAAGGTAAAAGGATCAAATCGATTTTTGTACGATTTCCTTTTTCTTGGTGGTTGTTCTCTATCTAGTTCATCAAAAACATAGAAATATTGTAAATAATCCATTTTGGATTTAGTTTCTGAAAATAATTTAAGGTTATACGTATTACACGATAGCTAAACAAGGGTCACCGACTGTATAACAGTTGAGTAAATCGGCATACAAAATATCCACCCGTTATAACAGCTGTATACAACCGAACTGTCAAAATTATGCTTATTAGTAGTCTTGATGTTATTACTGTTGTATACGTCGTGTGTAAAATGTTATTAGTAAGACTGTATAAGTTTATAAAAGTATTAAAAATATTTAAATTGTAACTGCCTTATCTCTTTATCTTATTTATATCCACATTTATCATTGTTTGATTGTGAGATAGTTAATATTTTGTTAATATTATTACATTGAATAAGATTACCTAATTTGGAACGTAGTTGGTGCGTTCTCCTAGTAGGATGTACAATGATTAGTTGATCATGTAGCGGTAAGAGCGATGCGGCGAGGCGATCAGCTCGCTCGTATCATGTTGTATAACGCTTGCATAGCGCCTTATCAGCGGTATCTATACGACATGGCTTCACTACGTCCATTCATAAGTCGCCGTCCCCCCGCCCCGCGCCGCTATTTGAATGAAGGCGCGTGTGTGCGTGGCGACGCGGGCGCACCTCCGCAGTGTCGATCTGACGGCCGCGCTGTACTGTCCTCGCCGCCTCGCGACCTTACCCTCGCTCATAACAGTGATATGCCCACAAGTTCAGTGTAACAACACATTGATAACGATTTTACCAAGTGCTGTGACGATACCGCTAATCTGGATAAAATCATTAAAATCGAGAGGTAAGCACTCCACCGAATATGTTTATTTTCATTCAAGCCCCGACGCCTACGCTCCGAGCTGTGTCGCGATTTGTGAGCGACGAATTTACATGTTATAAGTTCATTCATTGGACGTTTGGGCCTATTTATATTATTATCAACGTGCGTGCCGTATGAATGGGTGATTAGGGCGGCTCATTGTGACGAGACGGAGATCCGAGCTGATGACTGATTCACGGCGATACGACGGCGCTTGCTCTGCCTACAGCGCAATGAGGTCTTTTTGAGTATTTCTAAGTATTGCCGAGTAGTGCCGGCTATGGCACGACTGTTCTTTTTGTCGGATCGCGAGCGCTATCTAGGTGAGACCGGGCCGCGTCCGCTCCATTTCAAGTGGTGTTTTTATCCCGGCGCTACCTGAGTATCGAGTCGAGTGGACTCGTCTCGCCGCAAGTCGATCCCGCTAATGGCTGGCACACCATATCGACAGATACCACAGACCACACCTTCGTGCAACTTGCGATTCTCTCAGATCGCTTTTTGTCTGCAGTCGCTCCGATATCCACACTATTTATAGACAACTGTTTAGGAATACTCGACGAACCCACACGAACTTCATGTTTCATTTAATTTCGTAATTAATATTGATCATTAATAGTTATCAGTGGTAAGGTGACGAAAAGATAAAGAACAAATAAATCGTAAAGTTTACGATCATGTTTACCTAGCCGGCAGCGAGGCATAGAGATGTTGCTTCAATAATTTCATTCTGAATGTTATACCTACACAAGTATAATAAAACAAACCTAATGTAACGGTCAGCTATTGCAAGAAACAGTGACGTCACTCTAAAAATGAAT